TGTTTATAATTGTACTGTCCTGATGAATTGACCCTTTCATTAATAAATCTTTCTTTTTTGTTTCTTGTTTCATTCTTTTTTTTTTTTTTTTTTTGGTGGTTCTGGGGATTGAACTCACGACCCTGAGCTTGCCAGGCAAGTGCTTCTTCTACTGAGCTATCTCCCCAACCCTTCTTGTTTCATTCTAAGTCTGTTTTGTCTGAGGTTAGCACAGTCACTATTTCTTTCTTCTGATTGCTCCAAATTTCTCTTTTGAATTAACAAAGCTTTGATAGACAGTGAAAGTCATTGAACAACTTGTCTCTTCCTTTTCTGTCCACTTGAAATGAAATATTTCCCCAATCACCAAACTATCCTTAAGCACTAAGTCTGACTCACTACAAGAAGGTCTGTGTGACATAAAAATTCTCATATCTAGATGGGGTTGTCTTCCTGGAATGAGTTCATGAGGTTTTTGACCTCTCCATTTCTTTAGCAAATGCAAAATCACATTCTCCTTTAAAATTAAAACCAAAACTACTTAATCTGCTGGAAGGCAAAATAGGAAAAACTTTTGAGAACATAAATGCAGGCAAGGACTTTCTAAATAGAAACCCAACTACACAAGAAATAGCATCGACAATCAATAGATGGCACCATGTCAAATTAAAAAGCTCTGCCAGCAAAGGAAACAAACAATAGAGTGAAGAGACAATCTAGAGAATGGAAAAAAATTGTCAGCTACCCCTTGCGTATCTAGAATATATAAAAAAACTAAAAAAAAAATCTAAAAATCTAAATTCCTCCAAATAAAAAGTCTGATTAAAAGTCCAATTAAAGCATGAGTAACTTAAGCAAGTAGATGCTTCGCAGAAGAAGCACACAGGACCAACAAACACAGGAAAAATGTTCAGGAGCTCTACCCATTAGAAAAATGCAAATTAAAAAAGCTGAAATGCTAGATCCAGAAAGAATGACTAACATCATTTAAAGAAATCAAACAATAACAAATGCTGGTAAGGCTGTAGAGAAAAGGGCTCCCTTCTAAATTGTTAACAGTAGTATAAACTGGTATGACCATTATATAGATCAGTATGAAGGTTCTTCAATAAACTAAACTAGAAATTCAATGTGATTTACCTAGTCTACTTGCAGGTATCTCCCTAGAAGAGTTAAAAATGTTACATTACAGTGATACATGAGCATCCATGTTTATAGCAGCACAATTCATAATAGCTCACTCTTGAAGTGGCCTGTATGTCCATCAACAGATGAATGAATAAAGTAAATATATTTATACACAGTGGAGTACTAGTCCATCATAAAGAAGGATAAACTTGAATCATTTGTAGGAAAATCGATACACCTTGGGACCATAATGTTAATTGAAATGAATAAGACAAGGGACAAGTGAAAGCCTCTATACTCTCCTCCAGTGAGAAAACCTCATATCTGCTGCCAGTTTTCTGTCACTGCTCTGAGCTCCCAGAGTTCAGCGAGGAGAGGGTGATGTGACCTTCCTGTAGCTGTGTGCTGGCACAAGTCCTCGGGGCCGTCTGAGCTGCAGGCTTGTGGAGCAGCTCTTCCTTACTTCTTGAAAAAGCAGCCAATTTGGTTGCAGGAAACCCCTCTGCGGTGCTGGCTGTGTTTAGGAGTCATTTTTAATTTTGTGACAGAGACAAATGCATCCTATGGGAGTAGTAAGTGGCTTTACTGGTGATATTAATGGAACCATGACCTCGTCTGTATCGACGAAGATGGTCCTACAAAACAAAATTTGTTTGTATTATGTCAGGCAAGTTTATTCTTAGTCCTTCCTTAAAGCAAATTGCAGAGGAAATATACTATTAATAAGCTCAGAGAACACTGTGTGTGTGCACACGCACATGGGTACCTCCAGTCATAAGTTCATTTACAAATGCAGTAGGTTTACGTGACTATTGATGGTCATACAAAGAATATACTTTAAATTGTATTTGAATGGACACAAATCATTGACATGTTCTGACAGCTTTGAATAGAGTGGTAGTAGTGTCAGTACTGAAATTGGAATTAACTTTCAGAGGCCTTTCAGAGTTGTAGTAAATTCAAGTGTTTGGGGATCCAAAAAGACAAATGGAAGACACCCAAAGACATATTAAATTAGCCTTTTCTATTTTCATTTGAAACTGGCATTTTAGTAGCCTAGAAATGACTAGCCTGATGTTCACCCTGTCCTGTAGGAACTTTCATGCCAGTATCCTTTTTGGAAATGGTTACGTTAAGGATACAGTAAGTTAAACATAAAGGATGTACAGACTAGTTATACGGTTTAAACTATTTTGTGGTGTTTGTGTTTACCTCGGAGTTCACAAAATGCACAAAAGTGTATGCTCACAGGAGGAAAGAAAGAGATGAAAAATCCCAATAGTCTCTACCTGAATGTGTAGCTTAGCAACTTTATTTGGAAGAGGAATTTAATGCTGAGAAGGAATCCTTGTTTCCATTTAATTAACTCTTCTGCTTTGCATATGTTCTACATCTATTGGGAATTCCTAATAAACATACAACTTTATTAATTGAAACAGTTAGTATCTTATGATAGAGGATTAAAACTAAAGTAAATCAAATGCAACATATAGTTTTCCTCAAGTTAAAATGAATGGCGCTTTATAATTTGAGATTGAACTTTAATAATTAAAATTATTATAAAATGACATGATCATTCTAGAAAAACTGACAACTTCAAGAACGTAGATTACTAATCTGTTTTGAAACTTGGTTTATTATCTTTTTCCTGTTTGAAATTTTAAAAAGAAGGTAAATTAGAAAATAGCTCATGAAGTTACCACCCAAAGCTAATCCTTGTTAACATGTTAGTGTATTTGTTTCCAGTCTTTTTTTTTTTTTTTTTTCTATGCCACTGTTGGAAATCAAGGCTTTTCCAAGACCAAGCCTCTTTGAGTCTGTTTGTGTCTCTTACGGTCTTCTGGAGGTTCCCTGAAATCTCCGGAATTCCTTGACTTGTAAATGTCACAGAAATGTTGGCTTTTGTCTTCACGTGGTTTTCTTCCTGTGCATATGTCAATCATGACCCACTCTACTTAGCAACAATGCTATTTCCAAATCAGGCCACATTTGAAGTATAAGGAAATTTGGGCTTCGCTCTTCTGTTGGGGGCGGTGCTGATGGGTACAACCCAAGTTTTAATAATTGGGATAAGGCACCACCTAGGCAACCATTGCCTGCTGACTGCTTTTCCTTTCAATAATTTATTTTCCACTTGGCATCCAGAATGAGCTTCCTTACCTACAGATCTGAGAGAGGATCAGCAAGTGGAGGTGCGGGTGCTGTTTGGTTATTTCTGGTCAAGATGGACAGAGTTCACCCAGAACTTATTCTGGGCATGTAAGGCTGGGGCTGGGGGAAGTGGAATGGTTCAGGACACAGTGACTCTTGAAGAGATGGGCTGCCTAAGGACATCCACGGATTCTTGGGAGCCAGGGTAGGCAGTGGGAGGGTTACTACCAGGTTGTGATGTTCACTCTGGTTCCTAAGGGAAGCAGAGCAGGCTGTTTGAATTTTCCTTGCCTCTGAGAGAGGCCAAATACCATACTTTAAAAGGAAAACTTGTAGTGATTATTGAAAGCCCTTTCCAGACCCCTTTGTTAGCTTTTATACATACTTTGTTTTTGCTCTTAGTAGATAAGCAGTGCATAGTAAAACAGACCTACAGTACACATGAAATTCTCAACTCTGACTCCTCTGCTTTTTGCCCTTCCCCTAAGCAGCCCAGGGGACTATTCTTATTTATAATAGTCTACCAGGAAAGCTCTAGAGAACCTGTTATTCAAATGCTCATCTTCTCTCTAACTTGCTGCCCTTTTGCAGTGTCACTAACTCTCCAAATAGAATTGACTCTGTTCACTGCAGCCGTGGTCTTTGAGGTGTTACAAAGGCAATGAATGGTGTTTCCTGGAGGCCTCAGCATAGCTGTGGTTAAGAAGTTTACACAGAATATCTTCTTTTGCTCTCAGTGGTACTGCATATGCCAGCTGCTAGTAGAGTACGAGGGCAGGCCCACTGAAGGCCAAGAACTAAGTAAGAAAGGGGATTTTATTAAAATTCCTTTTTCCAAGCAGAAACATAGGGAGTCAAATTCAGAGATGACTGTGAATGTCCTTGAAGGGGATGATGGGGTAGTGCCTGGATGACCTCACCAGCTATAGTCTACATGTTTGTATCTCAATCATTTACGTAGTCTTAATTTTTTTTCTCACCCAGATATAGGCAAACCTTTCATAGAGATGTTCCCTGAAACACCTAAAGTAATACAAATGGTGGAAGGAGAGAAGCTCATCATTCCCTGCCGAGTTTCATCACCTGACCTCACTGTTACTCTTAAAAAGGTAAACTTTATCAGTGCTCATTGCAGAACGTTCTTACTGCTGATGAAGATAACGATTTAACCACCTTGTCTCCCGGAATACTTTCCTCACGGACCTGTGGGCTTCTCGGTGGACTTCTCCATAACATCCTTCTATGACAGTGGAGAAGTACTAGAAATCGTAGCCATGCGTGTACTCTATTTCAATAGAACGAAATGGAATTTAGTTGTAAGCATCAATCTATAGGAATATCTAAAATCATGAACATCTGTGTGTATTGCCACTAATCCAAGTGCCTGAAAATGTGAGAAAAGTGAATTTTGCTGCTTATACAAACTAATAACTTGGCAGAATGGCTTGTCCAAACTGTCGCTGAAGGCAGAACTATCTGCTCTCCAGGCACTGAGATGCACTTGCTTTGTGCGTAGGAGCCATCATCTCTTGTTTGAGTTGGGAAATTCCTGGTGGCAAAACCATGCACTCCTGCTGGGCATGCACAATGTACTGGGACAAAAACTTGTTTGTTTGCTTCTCTGATGGGGTCTCACCGTGTAGTTCAGGCTGGCCTCCAATTTGTTGCAATGCTTGGCCTCATCCACCCAAGTGCTGGGATCAGAGATATTGCCATGACATCTGTTTAGGATGAAGAATGAATAAAAATTCCCGATGTAGAGAATTGAACTAAATTCTGAAAGCTTAGAATTTTGAGACAAAACTCCCAAATCTAGCACCTGTGGCCACAAAGCAGGTACTAAAGAAGTGAGTGGCGACAGTGAAGTGGGGAAAGTCTGAACTATGGTTCTCATGTCGCACCCACAGTCCTGAAGTGTGATGCGATGTCACCGTGTCCTCCTCCTTTGCATCACTCTCTTGTGCTGTTCATTTGACTTAAGCCTACCACATAACCCATTAGGGACAGGCTTCCAACTATATCACATCTGTGAGCCATTGTTAGAAAAATATAAAATCACAAAAAGGGGGGGGGCGGGGAGATGGCTCAGTGGAATAAGCACTTGCCTGGCAAGCACAAGGGCCTGAGTTCAATCCCTGGTTCCACCAAAAAAAAAAAAAAAAAAAAAAAAAAAGAAAAGAAAGAAAGAACGAAAAGAAAAGAAAAGAAAAATATAAAATCATTGGATATCAGCAGGAGCCACCAGAGGAGTTAAGCTCAACTGATCAAGAACACAGTGAGGTTCTCAGGGCCTGGGGGACTTCTGGCCTACTGGGCAGTACAGCCATGACTTTCCAGTCTTTGTTCCTTATCCCCTTCCTCAGGGGTTCAGCCTGTACAAGAGGAAGGCCAGAGTGGTTCAGAGCAGAGGTTGCTGTCACACTCTCTGGATTCTCATCACATTGCCATTACCGCTTGGCAAACCAATAAGTAACCCAACTCTTCTCAACCTCCTTCCCCCAATATGAGAAATGGGGTGATCACAATTGTACCACCTCACATGGCCTCTGGAAGGCCAGATGAGGCAGTATGGGAAGCGCTTAGATTAGCATCTGCTCTGTGACAAGCCTCATTCCAGGGTCTGTTACTAGTAGTATTTATTTAACTCATTTCTTGGTTTGCTAGCAAGTCACATTTTCAACGCCATCATATTACTCCTCTTAATTGGAGGTAATAATTGCTACCTGATTAACATGGAAAACCATGGAGACAGGGAAACTCTTTTATGTAAGTCCTGTTGCAGGCAGGCTTTCTGTCACAGGAGCATTCCACAATTGCAGCATAGGGAATTCTGTCACAGGAGCATTCCACAATTGCTCTGTTTTATTGCCTAACCTCTACAGCATGATTTTTTAAAATGAGGACAAGAAAAGAATAAAATCCTAACAGGACGTTTGGTTTTGACTTAGATCCTGAAAACATCCTAACCTATTATTTGTACTGGCATGAAATGAACATTTTTTTTTTTTCATTGTCATGTTTCTTCTAACCTGCTGTCCCTTCCCTCTCCTTTCCCCATGCTTACTCTGGTGGAACCACTGCCAGCTGGAGATGGCCCTCCCTCTGGGAACCTTGTCTTGAGGATGCAGTCTCCCTGCCTCTATGACACGCGCAGCCATGGCCCTCACTGATTATGTTTTTGTGCTTGTCAGCTAAAAGTGAAGTTACTTTGTCAATGGAGCAGTACTTATGATGGGAGTGGATGGATCAGAGTGGAAAAAAAAAAAAAAGACTTGGAAGGAAGTGTTAATATCTTTAAGTTGTGTTGAGGAAATGTATCATTGAACATTTCTTTTAGGTTTGACACATGCATATTTTTGCTGACTTTTAAAATATTATAGGTTTTGATTCCTGACTTACATTTTTTTGAGTTTTCCCCTTCACTTTGCCAAATTAGAAAAGAAGGTTCTTTTCTCCCATTGAATACAAACGTTCCTAAGCTAACAGGTGGAATATTGATTTACTAAAACATGAAAGGAATCCTTGCTTGCTTTCAGTTCTTGGTAAACAGGATATAATTAGCCTAAACCTAAGCAGCACTGGTAACAGATAACAATACGGGCACACTTAACTGGAAGAGAGGCACAAATGACCTTTGCACTGGAAGTTTCTGCCACAGTGTTACAAATCTAGATAGACAACTTCATTTATGAATAAGTAAGTGAAGAGAGAGATGTAGGTAATTCTTGAAAAGGATTTCAAACATCTTAGTGGATGTTGGACATTTCCTTTATAATCTACTGGGCAAGCAGGAGTGAGAGTATATCTGTCAACGTGGACTGGCAACCTGGCATCTGGGGAATTTGGCTTTGCCAGTCATGGAGCAAAGACCTTTGATAAAGTTAAATCTTAAGGTGGAATGTTTACACTAATTTTCACTTAAGTCCTACACACTGGGAGTATAGCTGAATGGTGGAACTCCTGCCTAGTAAGTGTGAGGGTTGAGTTCCATCCGTCACATGACAAAAAGAAAAAGAAACATCCTAGATTTTGAAAGAATGTACAAAGAGAAAAGTAACTCATGCATTCTTCAGGGTGCCGTCACCGCGCTTGAGAATGCTCCTAAGTGAAGGTGTTTCATTCACAACAGTATCTTGGCCTCCAGAGCTTCCCCTCTCCAAGGCAGAGCTGATGGCATCCCTGTAGACAGCAGGATTCTCAGAGTGACAGCCCTAGCAGTGCCATGCCCCTGTTAGGAATCATGGGGGATCTGGCATTACTGATAGACAGCTCCCACTTTAGTAAGTCATGCAAAATGGGAAGGTAGATGATGGCTTATGAAAAGCTCTAGGTGATGAAGACACACAGGATGGCCTGGTAGCCCCAGCGGGAAACATGCTCACTGTCCAGTTTACCCAGAAGATTCCCAGAGGCCAAAGAATGGCCGACTCCCAGAAGAAGTCTGACATGATAGCTAGTTTGGTTCCCAATGAGTGCAGCTTACTGCCAAGGCTGATAATAAGTTACCATAATGATTATAATTTATCATGAGAAATATATCTTATTATATGCAAAGAAAATGAAAGAACCATTGAGGAAGACTAGTGTTTTTACCTGTACTACTAAAGTGAAAATTATGTTTGCTCTAATGATCAGTGAAGCAGCATTGTTGTAACACTAACACGATTTTGTTAAAGTGTGTCTCTTCCTTTTCAGGTTCCATTTGATGCTATAATCTCTGATGGAAAAAGAATAATCTGGGACAGTAGGAAGGGTTTCGTAATACCACATGCAACATACAGAGAAATAGGGTTTCTGTCGTGTGAAACAAGAAGCAATGGAACTGTGTTTGTTTCAAACTATCTCACACATCGGATAGGTAAGTGGCAGTCCAAAGGCATGAGGTTGAGTCTAAATGCTTCGTGCTTGTTTGCCAATGAATTTGTGGTGTTTAAAATGTTTTCTCTCTTACACTTGTAGACAATAAAATCATAAGTATCCAAGTGGGCCCAGGAAACCCAGTGAAACTGCTCAGCAATCATACTCTTACTCTCAACTGTACAGTCATGACCGCCTTGAACACAAGAGTTCAGATAATCTGGGATTACCCCCATAAAGTGAGTGACCCATTTTTCTACTTGTTTGGCAGAGCATTATGTAGCCTTCTAACAAGTGAAACCCTGCTGAGTTTTAGAGATGAGGAAAATCCCACAAAGTTCTGGCTCCTGTGGCTGTGCTTATCAATAAGAAAGTTTCAGTTTTGGGTAGAGTGCTTTCCTGGCCTGGCATTTCGTGAATGTGACAGACACAGATACTGTCTTTTGATGTCTGAATGTTTTATTCTGAAGTGTGTAGGCTGCTGTTTCTATTGTATGATTCTGGGTGGGAAAAGGGATTGTTTCATCTTTGGAAACAATACTTTACGATTTAGAGATGAGAGAAATTTATCACTACATGCCAGGCAGGGACTGTCTTTTGTAATAACAACTTTTCAGAAAGATGTCTTTGTTAAAACATTCATTCAAGGAACTGGGAGACAGCTCCTTATTAGGGCAAGTTTGGAAAAGATACTGCAGCAAAATGAGAAGAGAAAAATGAGAAGAATGAAAACTGATCAGATTCTCTTATTCAAATCAAACATCTTCACAAACTGATTATTTTTTTAAAGTACATAGATTGAGAAATGATGGTAAACTGTTAAAAAAAATTCTGACAGCAGATAGGTGCTATTTCTTGAGTGTCATTATGACTTATGTGGCATATTCCAAATACAGTAATTTAATGTTTTTCAAATTGCCAAATCACCAAGTGAATGTACGATTAAATAATGTGCAAAAGATTAATGCATCAATCCCAAGCTATTGTCATTGACATTTCTTGCCAAGTAAATTGAATAACTTAACAGCACAAAAATTTAATATGTACCCTGTAAGGAGGGATACAAAGACCTATCCATTATAAGCTGTTTTCTAGGAAATTGCATTGTTTTATTTAAATAAAAATGCTGACTCATTATAATATATCTTGGGTTGCAATAGAAATCAGACATTCTCAGTAAATATGAGAAAGACAGAAGCTTTTATCCTGTTAATGATGTTGCTATAAATAATGGCACATGTAGTACATTTATTAAATGCAAATAGTTTCCTAAGATGCTACTGTTCAATAGAACATTTTGTGATGCAAATATAATAAAGTAAGTACTAGCTACATATGGAAAATGAATATTTGAAATATGGCCAACTTGACTGAGGAAATGAATTTTAAATTTTGGTTAATTTTAATTTAAATAGCTAGATGTGGCTGGTAGCTGTAGTATTGGGCAAAGCAACCCTAAAACATGGGATAAATTGTTTTCTAAGCCAGAAACAGTCCTAGTGTTCCTCAAACATGGGAAGAAAAGAGTTCATTCACACAGGGAGAAGTAGCACCCATACAGGTTGCCGAAGGTCTCAGCCTATCATGTTAAACTAATTCAATGATCTTTAATGGCAATAGCTGATTTTTCTCTCTGGTTACTGCTGAGACTAAAGAAAAGGGCCTAAATTGTCAGTGCCACCAGGGAATTAAAAACATAGGTGGGTGAAATTTATTAAAAATGAAAAAGGGAAGACCTAACTCCAAAATCCAAAGATAAGTCTAAGCTGCTCCCAAGTCTTGTTTCCGTGACCTGCTACCAAACATATGGGAACACACTGAAAGGAAGAAATGACACATTGTGTATGATAAAATGGACAGTTAAGGAGAAGGCAGTGTGGTTTCACCTTTTCACTATGGGAATGGGTCCCTGTGTCCAGCTCATTTACTAAGCCTTGAGCTTTCTCTAGGTCTTTCCTGAATAGACTGGTAACCAACCCTCAGATAAGGACTAAACTTCTCCAAGAGCTTGCATACCCAACAGCAAGTATGACACCTTAGCAGAAATTGCCAGGAATGGCTCAAATAATGAAGCAATGGAAAGAGAAATATTACATATATTACTCCAGCTGGTCAGGCAGCAGCAGCAAAGGAAATTCATATGCTGATTTATTAAGAGAAACACTGTCACTAAGCCAGGTATCAAAACAATTATCTTGCATATCTATGGCTAGAGAACAGGCCACTCTTTCGAGGTAGGTATGCTAGAAGAACCCTAGATTCATTCTCAGCATACCTGGGTTCTGAGACTACTTAGGCCAATGTCCGTTTCACTTTAGTTTCATTGGCCAAAGAGCAGTAATCCTGCCAATTTGCCTAAATGGTTGTGAAAAAATTCAGATAACATATATCCATCAGAAGAAATACAGTGGCAAATAAAGGTTATTCTGCTACAAAGCTGAAGTACATCTAGACAAAGACGTAATGTCCAAATATTTTGCTCTAAGTAGGTTTGATAAGCTTTTTAGCATAAGAAAAAAAATTTTAAAGAAGTAGTTGTCAAACTAATGACCTTAGAAACACTAAAATGCTATAACTTTAAGAACAATTACTTCATTTACATTTGTCATACATTTTTCTTTCTAGGTAGATAACAGAGCTTCTATAAAGCAACGATTTTACCGAAGCGATACCTTTACCAACATGTTCTACAGTGTTCTTACTATTGCCAAAGCAAAGAAAACTGACAAGGGGTTTTATACCTGTCAGGCGCAGAGTGGACCATCGTTCAAATCTGCTAACATCTCTGTGAATGTATTTGGTAAGGAATACTTCAGTGTTGCTAATCACGCCATGTTTTCTAGTCATAGACTCTGGGTTCTATAAATAGTCAATATTGGGGCCAGTAGTTACACTGTCATTTATGAAGACAGCTTTGCTGGAGTCCCCCCTCCCCACTGTGAAAAAAGCAGTGACACTTAGTGATCTTTAACACTCGGACAGTATTTCTTCAGAAGGTTATGCTTAATAGTTGAGAACATATTTATGAGATTCCTCACTGTTCCATATAAACCAAAGAAAAAAATGATATTTTACCTTTATCACCTGAGAAAGTTTTTAAGCACTACTTTAAATGTCAAGAAATATAAACATAACATGAAAAATTATTTAGAAATAATAATTTTAGAATTAATATTATTTTACCCCTGATTTTATTATCATGGAATTCTATATTGTTTAATTCCAAGGTGCAAATTATATAAATAAAATGCTAAAAATTGTATATATCTCCATTATTGAAAAAAAAAAAAAAAAAACAGGACAAAGAACAAAAACCATGGTGCTGTTCAGAAGCCTTTTGCTTCCTCTCTGCTGTCTCTAAGTTACTTGTGATATCAGATTAGTCGGGTCCATAGCGACTTTCTCTCATCTCACTCTTCTTAGCCAGGTAGCTCTTTTAGAAACATAGACTCATTTTTGTTGTCATTGTGAAATATTTATTTCAAATGTTCTCTATTGGCCTGCCATGATTTATGTCTTTGCTACCTTTTGATTTGAAAGCATTTCACCGATTTAGGTGTTCTTAAAGCATGCTATTCATTGATCGACATTTAGGCTCACAGATAGGCTCCCATCAAAATTCAGGACTATTTCACCATTGAATGCACCCTCCCTTAATGAGGCAGTGAAGTTTTGTTTACATATTCTATTCTAATGTTCTTATCACTTCTCCTTTGAAAGAAAAGGCATTCATCACTGTGAAACATCGGGAAAGCCACGTGTACGAGGCTACAGCTGGCCAACAGTCCTACCAGCTGTCTCTGAAAGTGAAGGCCTTTCCTCCACCAGAAGTTGTATGGTAGGACGACAGTCATTTTCAAAGCTGTTTAAAATATGTTTTATAAGTAGAAGATACAAGAGCTCAATGACTTAAGTTCCTAAGGAAACTCAAGAGAAGTTGCTTGGGCAATGCCGGAGAGCTGGGCTGTGTTGATTTCCTGATGGTGACGGCTAGGTGGGGGAGGGAAATAATGCATCTAGATGAGATGAGTTGGTTCCTTATTTTTTTCAGTAAGTGCTCGTTTCAGCTTAGTCTGTCCCCTGCCAACACTGAATTTCTGCATCTCCAAACCTTCCTATGATGTCAGCACTCTTTGAATGGAGCGTGCGAGGCAATAACTAGGAAGCATCTCGAATGTGTAACATGCTCTATTAACCCTGAAGAAGTGGTCGCTTGTAATGAGGATGCTGAAAATAATTCTTTTATATACAGCTATGTTGAAAGTTCCAGTCTTGTTTTAAAATTAAACATTAGTGGAGACAAGACTTATTCAGTTGTGGGAGTAGACAAGTGAACCTACTCGAACTAATTACAGTTTTTTTAGCTTGAAGTTTGTATATTCAGAAACTCCTTAACCCACTTAAAAAAAATTAGTACAACATCTGATCTAAAACAATGTAATCTGTTTACAAGCTAAGTCATTTTGTTAAATTACTTTTAAATGACAATAACCTTAGCCTCAGTCATTACATTTAAAGAAAGGTTATACACACACACACACACACACACACACACACACACACTGATTAGGAAAATAATCCATCCAATACAGCATTGGTGTCTTTTTGGAATTTCTTCAGCCAAAGCTTACTGAGTCTTCACTATCCTATTGCTGGAGTGTTTTCTTCTAGTTTTCTCAAACACTTAATAGACAACAAAAGAGAAAAATTAAACTCTGTTCAATGCCTTCCTGCCATCAGAGAGGAAAGGGCCTATTTTTCTTTCATAATATCTAAAAAGGTTAATAGTAAATTATAAATTTAATGGCCAGAAGGTACATTCACTCTTTCAGGATGAGTCTACTTTCATCTGTTAATGCTGATTTGTTCAATAACCAAGTAGCAAAGTCTACTCAAAAGTATCCAGCCCACTTTCAGAAATGCTGCCCAGTTAATAGGAAGTAATTCAAGTTAACACTGAAATGCTACTTGTAATCACAAAGTAGATCATCACCATTTTAACTGCTTTGGAACTGAGACTCATCAGGAATGGGATTTATTTGTAGTACAGGCACGACGATGAACTGATAGCATTTACATTATTTTATCTCTTTAGAGAACACAGTAAATTCTTACCAGATCAAAACCACCCATGTGAAGAATTGTGCACTGAAATCAAACCACAGAATTTTACAGTCAAAAAGATCTTTGAGAAGCTGTAGCCTCTACGGCTCACACTGGCCAAGTCACCCATGTAGCAGCACTTACTCGGGAAGCCTCCTGTCACTTCTATATGCAACTCAATGATATCAGGGCATTGATTCTATATTTAAAAGGTTTTTAAATTGTTTTAAGTCTATAGTTTTAATTTTGTGCCTCAGCAGAAAACAAAACTTAAGTGAAATCAAGATATTTTCCCAGAGGGAGAACCTCAGCAGTTCTCCCTCTGGGAAAATATCTTGATTTCACTAAAGTTTTACTATGAAAGGGACAACTGGTGTGACCATTTATATAACTAATAAGAACTCCACATGAAACCACAATAGGAGGGTCTATTTTTATTTTTATCTGGAGAGGAGATCTAGTTGGTGTGACTTACAATGGCTCTTGAAGTGCTTATGGAACCTCATGGGAAACTGAAAAATATTTCGATGGAACTAGAGCCTGTACCTCTAAGTTTACAATTAAGTCACCCTGACATTCCCTGGGTACATTAAGTCACCACTTTTCTTTCTTCTCTTGGTTTACTTCTTCTTTGCCAAAAAATAGGAAGCAGTAAACAGTCTAAATACCATATCTGCTTTTTCTTAAATATTATTGCTCACATTTTAAAATTCAGTGCTGCTGATCAAAGGGTTAGAAGTGACTTGCAAGCTCACAGACTGAGTTGCTGTGACCCTGAAGAAGCACAGGCAGTGACTTACTGATCATGTTTTTAACAACAGGCTGAAAGACGGGTCACCTGCAACAAAGAAATCTGCTCGCTATGTGACTCGTGGCTACTCATTAATTATCAAAGACGTAACTGCAGAGGATGCTGGGAATTATATGATCCTGCTGAGCATAAAGCAGTTCAATGTGTCTGAAAACTTCACTGCCACTCTAATTGTAAATGGTGAGCTTATGGTTCTTATGCTCTTTGGGTTCTAGTAAGGGGAAAATTAATGAAAATTGGTCAATTTAAGAGTCACTGTAAGGGTTTGGAGATGTAGTTCAGTGGTAGAGAACTTGCCCAGTATGCCTGAGGCCCTTGGGTCAAGCCTCAGAATTGCGCCAAAAAGACCCACAAAAGTCAGTATGGCAATGTCAAGGAAAGCAAAGTTTTAAATAATTATTTTAAAAACCACTACTATTTCATGTTTGTTTGTCTTCACAGGCAACACAGTTGTTACTGTAATCATAGTGTACACACCATAGAATCAAATCATTAATGTTCTCAATATACTTTTAGATTTAAAAACGGGTATTTTCTTGACAAGAAAGCTTATTTATGCTTTTGTTTCCCTGATACCAAAACCAGTGAGACTGTGGTCTTCATGTGAGGTTTAAGACAAAGTCAGAACAGCTCTTGACTTTCATCCTGTTCTTCTTCTCTTTCCAGAGAAACCTCAGATTTATGAAAAGGCTGTGTCGTTTCCAGATCCCATTCTCTACACACTGGGCACCAGGCAAATCCTGACCTGTACCGTCTACGGAATCCCTCAGCCCATAGTGCAATGGTTCTGGTATCCCTGCAAGCACAGCTATTCTGAAGAAAGGTAGGGTGAGTTAGGTTTTGGGATTATTTTCAAATATTTTTTGCTACCATGTACTAAGATTCTGTAACAGATCCACGTAGGAGTTTACAGACAGAACATGCAGTGCACTTGGGGCAAAGACTTTGCCTATGTTGGAAACAGGTAGGCAACAGTTACTCCTCCTTCCTGAAGATTCCCTCCACTGGCTCCCTATTGCATCGTTTTTCTTTCTAGTGTGCCATGCTGGGACATGAAACACAGAAACATGAACTGTCACTCAGGCTGAGACCTCAGTGCTTGTTTCCCAGTTGAGTATCTTCAGACTTTAGCTATACCAATTTGTTAGTTACACTGATCTTCCCATTTTTCATTGGATAATCCAAGTCCTTCCCAACACTAGCAATCACTATGTTATATCTTGGGGGCTTTACTGATGCTTTTCCATCTATTTGCAATGAGCTTCCACCTATTGTCTCTTCGTAAGATGTCCCCCTTTGTCAAACTCCAGGCTCAGTTCACACATCACTCTCTGAGAAGCTTCATAATTTCTCCATTCAGACTCATGTCTTCCTCCCAGCATGAAAATTGTGTTGCTCGTACCATTCTTCTGTATGCTCATCTGTGAGCTACCTGCTCTGTATATTCAGGGCTGGGCAGAGTCTGTTACCAGTAGATGTCCAGTGTGTATCTGCTGACTGAATACATCTGTAGCCTCTATACATCTGCAGCATTTCCTTGCATGCCTTGGTGGCTGGACACTGTGCGCTTTTTCCTCTTTGTTTAGTCTAGAGGGATGGCGCCAGTGATGGTTCAGGAGAGCTAGTTAGCAGAACATGAATAGAATCAATAGCTACACCAATCAGTTATTACTGAAACTGTAAGAATTATTATTTTGTCAAATATTTCTTTTATTGCTTTTAACTTTAAGAATATTTGAAAGGATAACTATTTTAAACAACTAGTCTGATTTTTTTTTAAGTGAACAAAACATACTTCTAGCACAAACAGAAGTGCCTGTTTGGTGCTTTAAATTCTTCTCTCAGTTTCAACTCTTCATCTGTGTCTTAATCCTTGTGCAGGGTGTAATATACTGATAGTGGAAAGTTACTGGTGAGTTATGGAATTTCTAAGAAGTAGTTATTTCCACATGTCTGGCTTGTTGAATGTCTTTTTCTAAGAATAGAAATATAGAGGACTTGCAGATCTTGGCTATCTTCTTTACCATTGTGGATATTTCACCCAAAACATAATGTTATGTACGGAGATTTTGTATTTATTTTGATAGTTTCAGGTAGGCATCCATTGTGCTAACATGCAAAAAAATTAAAAATAACTAAGTAAAGCTGTTAACCCCCTACCCCGGGACACACTGAGCGAGCAATCAAGGCTGTGTATGGTGGCACACACCTGTAATCCCAGCACTTGGGAGGCTCAAAACAGGAGAATCGCTATGAGTCTGATCTATGTAGTGAGACCCTGTAGACTCTGTCTTAAATACAAAATAAAAAAATGAAAAATTGAGGCACATCTATAGGTGGCCACACCAAAGCAGTAGTTTAGTTTTGAGGCTAGACTATATAAAACCAGTTACCCAAAATTAGTAACTGCCTTAATATGGTCAACTAGTTTATATATCTAAGTTAGTATGAGAAGAGGTTCAGACTTAAATTCTGTCATCTCCTACAATACAGTAACTATGTAAGTATGTGTTGAAACCATCAGAGCAACTGCTCAGCTAGAAACTTCCTACTTAAAAAAAAGTAGTAAAATATCTTATGCAAATAAGCCATGTTTTCACTGAGTAATACTCTGGGTTTTCTTCTGCCTATAATTTGTTCTTATGAAACATTAGTAAGAAGTTACACTGTAGTATTGCATAATAAAATGACTCAAGATTACAATTAGGTACTGTATGTCTCAAAAAGCTATAAGAAAGGCTATTGAATGTTCTTACCATAAGAAATGATAAATGGGGCCATGGAGATAGCTCAGTGGAATAAGCGCTTGCCTGGCAAGTGTAAGGTCCTGAGTTCAATCCCTGGTACCACCAAAAAAAAAAGAAAGAAATAATAAATGTCTAGGGAGATAAATAAATCTAAACAGATTTAAATATTACACAATACATACACATATTGAAATATCACATAGTTGCCCATTAGTATGGACAATTAACATTTTAAAAGAAACATTAGGAATAAGAGGAAAAAGGATGGCTATTTAAACTTATACAGCTAATAAACCAAAAATAAATAAAGCAGAATTTCTCCCTTTTACATTTCTGCATACTTGGATGGTAAGGTGGTAAGAGAAGCAGGATATTTCTTTGCAGTGTTTAATAATACTAAATTATCAACATGGAGTGGGAGGAAGTTTTGAGTTTTTCTTATAGAGACCTCTAAATAGATACTGGTACCCTAGCCTTCCAAGGTCAATTAAGACTCAGGACATATGAGAACTTGTACTGTAATGTCATGTAACTCAGTAGTGTCCCAAATTTTGTGATCAAGGAGATTATGGGGCCAAAGAGGAAAGCGGTCGATGATGTAGAGTGTGCCTAAGAAGAGTCACATGGAGAGAACACATTGGCCAAGCATTGACCATGACTCATCCACATGGCTGACACTGACAAAGGATCTACAAACTGAAGTACAGGGTTTCAGGATAAATCCTGAGGGGATTTCACTGACCTTATCAGATACAAAAGCTACAACCCTCCTGTTGCATAGGTCTTGCTTTACCTTGGTCTTAACCATCCAGCAGAAAAGTATAAAAACGAAGTATAAGAAGTAAAGTCATGTTGCTATGTTGAGCTGTAGGGGACTCAGGTCAACAACTTCTGACATTGCCAGTCAAGCAGAAGACCCAATACTATTATGGACTACTGGACTATTTTGGAATATTTTGCTGAATTAACACACCTATAATATTTAAATGACCGAACTAAGCAAAAAAAGGGGTTACAGATGAATGACCATTTTGTGTCTGTGTATTCAAAATGGTTAGGATAGATATTTAGCTACATTCTCTTAATTCAATGAATAGAGGGATTTGTTCTAATAGTGTTTGTAAATAGGATATCATGTCTGCATCTTGTACAACAAATAACCACTAGGAAGAGAGTATGCAATGTGTTAATTATTGAAACTGTCCTACCAATTTGATTTGAAACTGTCTCATTGCTATTTGTTTCTCAATAAAATTATGAAAAAATAAATAAATAAATTAATTAATTAAATGTATTTCAAATTAAAAAAAGATACTGGTAAACTCGCTCTGTATTAGCCAGGCACAAACCTAGGCAGCAGGCATAGGGGTGTTAAGCTTGTGGTACCTTTCACATGTCTGTACTCTACAGCTTCTGGTCATAGAAAACGAAGGTAATTAGCACACTTTATACAGAGAAGATGTTATTAAATGAGGCAATGTATCTGCAAAAGCAGACAGTGCTGTAGAAATGCAAATTCTAATTGTTGATTGAGAGACTGTGTGTTTTAAGTAAGACCCAAGAACTTGAAAGGAAATTTCCTTACAGCATGAGCTTCACAACAATAAAATCATAGCAAAGATTTCTGAAATGAAGAGAAATTGTGAAAAGGAAAATGTTGCCCTTCTTTAAAAATAGAAATCTGGTGTGTTTGAGGGAGAAACCCTGTAGAATCAAGGAAGACATAACTTAGAGCTTTCTCAGAAGAAGAAGAAAATTAAGGAACTATAGAAGAATTAGGCAAAAATAAAAGAATAAGTAGAAGGGTGAAAAGGGAGAATGAAGTAACTCTCGCAGGTCACATGGCCCTTCCATTCATGTTTCCAGCCATGGGAGGAAGTGGTTTTGCCCTAGTTGATTAAGGCTGGGTGGGGCAGAGTGGTATGTGGGACAGCTGTCTTTGGCTTGACTAATCCCCCGCATTTTGAAGAACAAAGTCAAGTCGGACTATTAATTCTCCAGAGCCATGAGCTACTCTTGATCTCGTAGGCGATCTTTGCTACAATGCTGAAAGAATTATGTAGAGAAGATTGACTAGGGCAGGGAGGTTAGCCTTTAAAGGAACAATTGACAACACAGGACTGGATGGCAGGTGTCTCTCCCTAGATTTTTTTTTGTTTGTTTTTGTTTTTGTTTTTTTGTGATACCAGTGATAGAATTCAGAACCTTGCACTTGCCAGGCAAGCACTTATCCTACTGAACTGTCTCCCTGGCCCTCTTCCTAGACATTTAAGGATCCCCAAAGAGTATGGAGAATGGATAGTCATTTGTTTGTGCTCCAAGTTACCAGTTCAGTTTTCTCAGGAAGAATCTGAGATGTTGAGATTGCTTTTATTTTTGTGTGATTGAGAGTCAAATAGATGGCCATGCATAACTGACTGCAGCGTGCTAGGCCTGAACTGGCCTTTAAGCTCTCAAACACTAGATGGCGATGGGCTTTGGAAGGCTCATGCTTGCTGGCACTCTCCAGTAGTTCAAGACGCCTATCCCAGTGTATCCAGAGCTACCTGGTGGTTAGGGGATTGTTTCTTTTCTTTTTAAAAAAATTCAGGGTTATTTTTCAAAGGTTGAATGTGTTGTGATCTTCAGTACTGGAAAGCTCAATGCCTGCCACCTGCAATGGCTATAGTTTTGTTTTGAGAGCAAGCATTCTTAGAACACAGGCTGCTTTAATTCTCTCTCCCCTTCCACTTGTCACATAGCATAATTTCCCAACACCGATCAATTACAATATAGTTGCAAAGGCTCTTCTAATGGAAAATCATATTAGGTACCATGAAACTTTTTATTTTTTTATCAGCTGTGATGGCCAATAAAATTTTTTAAGGAAAAATCTGTGCTACCTTCATTGCATTAATATGTTCATTTTGTATAGACCAATTTTTCACACTGGTTATACTGAGTCTTTTTTCTTTTCTTTTTGTTTTTTGTTTTTTGTTTTTTTGTTTTTTATTTTTTATTTTTTATTTTTTTTTTGGTATTTTTAGGGAAGGCCCTGCAGGGTTTTCAGGGTCTCACTACTAGATCACATTCATAG